CGGACCCAAGCTTGACAAAGGTCAAGCTGAACCTGACTGCCAATGCCTCCCACGGTGCTCAGTTCCGCACGCACCCCAACGTCGACAAGAACCTCTTCAACAGCTCCAAGACCATCCAGATGAGCAACACCGCGCGTGGCTTCCCTATCAACCAGTCCGTTGGTGTCCTGCGTTGGAGAGCAACGGCCAAGGCAGACGATACTAGCGCTTGCCCCATTACATTCACTGTTTGGATCAACAAGGATGCAGACAAGTACAACATGACCGTCGAGTACGAGCTGACGGGCGGGGACACGTTGAAGGACGTTAGCGTGATCATCCCTTACCAGGCCAGTGAACCTGTGGTATCGAGCTTTGATGCCTCGTATGAGGTTTCTGGCGACTCGCTGGAGTGGAACATTGGCACGGTTTCGGACGAGAACCCTAGCGGTTCTTTCGAGTTCGAGGCCGAGACCAATGACGAGAACGACTTCTTCCCAATGACAGTCAGGTTCTCAAAGACCTCGCCCTTCATCGATGTTGATGTAAGTCACGACTCTGGCAGTTTGATGTCCCAGAAAGCTAATGCACATACTAGGTTACCACTGTCTCTTTGATTGAAGAGGACGAGGAGGTTACCTTCTCGAAGGAGATCAAGTCTCACGCAGACAACTTCTTAATCGAATAGAATGCAGGTACTTTTAGATTGAGATTGGAGCGGGATAGTCAGGGGTAGCAAAAGCTCGGCGCCAACTGATGAGTTTTCCAAACAGCGGGTTGACTTGCGGTGCTGGGAAACGGCCATGATATTTGGCTGCATGAAATGAAACGTATCTTAGAGAGTCTAGGGGATGCGAAAGCCTCGAGTAAAAGAAGTTATTTACCTTGTCGACTAACATCATCTTTGCCCTGGAATTGACTACTGCACTGAAAAGAAAGTGTTCCATTTCGATCAAGGTGCTGATCCACCACGCCTTGCAGTGACAGTGTTGCGCGGGGCGCTAACTCATCCTTGTCAGTGGCAGGTACAACCTTGGGTGCAGTTCCCACAGAACGGACATTGGATTGAGAGGTATGGAGTACCTGCTTGATGTACCTCAACTCACTTCTACATTTGTAAAAGTCGTGAGTGAACCTTCCAAACAACAACGGCTATTTGCGCGAAGCAGATTCGCCGATACCTAATTGAACTACGGACTGCACAGCTCGATTTCCTGAAATTCAATAACCAAACATCTGGTAATTTCTGTCAGCAAATCGTCCTACGGGACTAGCAATGGTCCTTCGAGGCGTCACCACTCCCCTGTCAATCCGGATAGCTTCGTATATCCGAAATGGATGAAGCCATGCAGCTACGGCACTACAGCGATACCAAGTTCGACCACCGCGTCGCCGAAGGCTTTCCATGCAGTAACCCAACGGTTGACCTCTCGGTCAGTTGGGACGCACACGGGAAAAATCTTTTGATCTACCGCCCAAGGGAACACGTTGTATCCAAAATCCATCAGTTCGCGAAGCCCGGTCAACAGGCTCCCGAGCCCCAAGCTGTAAGATGGAAACCAGATGGTACGAAGATGCACTCAATATATCTATAGAAATTTTTTTAATTTGATCACAGGGCAGTTCCTTGCTGTTGGCTGGAGCGACGGATACGTGAGGTTGATGGGCCTGGAGAACAACAAGGCTGCACATCACATTCGCGTCTGTGGAGACGACACAGCGACGCCAAACATCACTCACATCGGTTGGTCGCGCAACATTGTGGGCAAGCCGCAGAAGATGGCCCGGCAGTCGCCTGCGCAGCCATGGCAAAAACTCATGTCAGAGGAGCTGAATTTGCCCGGCAGCCCGGCCCCGTTGGATCTACCCCGAGAACTCACCTTCTTGGAGGTAGACTCTGCCTTGCCAAATATCAGTCCTCTACCTAGTTCCAGTGCTGGTGCAGGGTAAGTGAAGTCTGCCATGGTTCAGATGTCGTTACTGACTGTGGCTTTAGCGAAGATGGCCTGGTGTTTACCTTGAGAACTGGCATAGACTTCCTGTTCCAGCCCTTCAACACAGAAGATAGTGACCAAGTCTTCGTCATGGTGGTAGGCACAAGCGATGGGCGCCTCCATCTCAGCATCTATGATTCCTTCATCATCGGTGACTTCCGATACACGCTTCCAAGTTCCATGTACAGACCAGGCGTTCTCCAGCTCATTCAACATGCCTCTCATCCAGAAGTTTCCACTCACACTCTCCTCCTGAAATCCTCAGCCGACAACGACCAGCCAGTATACTTGGTTCCCATGGATCTGCCCTTTATACCCTCGTCCCCCATCAACATCTCTCTCCTGGCGTCAAAACTCACTACGTTACAGAAGCTGCTGCGTTATGTGAAGCAGACACAGCTCCACATGCAAGTAGAGTATAAGAACACGAGAGAACTACCGTCCAAGTTCTTGCGTAGTGTTGAGGGAGACCTGGAACAGATAGCACATGGGCCGACGAACATTGTTCAAGCTCTTTTCCATACGGTTGTCACTGGCCATGCGCATGAGCCCCTCCGAGAATGGTTGGTCGACAGTTTAGCTGAGCGCGTAAGTAGACGCTTTTCTCGCTATGTGATTCATTTCTGACAACATCTCAAGGGCCACAAACGCTGGGATAAGGCTGTGACGGCAGGACTGGAGAACCTGCGTGGTTTGATCCATGAAAATTTACTCCCGTCGTTGGAAAGATGTGCCATCATACTCAGCCGCCTGCGTGGACTTGCTCAGTTTTACGACTCACGCGACGACATTGGCTTCTCTGTGGCCCAGATCACTCGCGCAATGGATATCGTATCTTGCCTCACAATGGTCGGACACAAGATTCTCCTGAACGTCATGGACGAACTGGACCTCTTCCATGCCTTCTCTACATGGATGCGGTTCCAGATTGACCGTTTTGCGGCCCCAAACTCGGCGAGCGAAGAACTGACAGAGAAGGAGGCTACAATGGAGAACAGCAAGGTCCTTGTCTACGTGCAGCGCTACCTTGTCGAGAGCCCCATGGCCATATTTTTGGACGAAGTAGCCACAGACGATTACTCGGCGAACTGGGAACGAGCTGAAAGCGGAAAGTCAATGCTCGAAGAGCTAGATACCCAACTCAAACGCCAGGAAGAGGGACAAGAATATTTGAAGGCCTTCCCGAACGTTGGCTTCCTCGTCGACTACCTTACTGCCCGCGTAAATGGAGTCTTCAAGGATATTGCCGAAGCACAAAAAAGGAGCGTTCGATTTGGTCAGCCGACAAAGATCGGATTGGGCCAGAAAATTGCAAAAATTGACTCTACCATGTGCTCGGAACGACAAGACGTAAGTCTTGAAATCTCTCAACTGTTGACACGTATAACTGACATTCTTGCAGGACGAAGTTTATGGCCTCACCTTTACCGCCCTGACTGGAGAGGGCCGGGACCAAGAGTGTCAGTACTTTCTCGCGAGAGCAAGCCGAGTCTCATACTAACAGCTTGATAGTCTTCATATTCCGAACATCTATCCGCATCATCAACGGCATCAGCAGCAGCGTTGCCACGACGGTTGCTGCTCTATCTGTAGACAATGGCAAGATCGCTGAGGTCAAGTTTATGGACAGCACTACGTTAGTTCTGCTCGTGAACATACAAGGTACACCAAGACCTGCATATCTTATAGCTCATCAGTAAGGCTTCTACTAAATCTCTCTCTAGGAAGCCCCGCCAATGTCATCATGGTACCTATACAGTCTCCCGCCATCAACTATGTTCCCTACCAAGAGAACGACTTACCAGTCTCTACACCCTTGACCAAACAAATTCAGACAGGGCTCGTCACGACCACACTCCCCGAAGACCAGTCCTTCACGCCGATACGGATGGACGTACAGAATGTCACGAACGCCCGCGGCGAAGTCCCGGCACGCGTGTGCCTCCTCGGCGCCAACCGCTCGGTCTACAGGGTCTTCAGCCTCGCGTCCGGCCATGACGACAAGGACGCTCCGCGAAAACCGGCTACGGCAACGGCAGCGGCAGCGGCAGCGGCATGCGGCGACTAGAAGTTGCCCGTGCCCCTGTCGCCGGGTAACATGTTCAGGGTGCCGCCGAAGCGGTTTACGCCGCGCAGCAAGAAACGCATGGCTGTGCTGGACATGAGGGGGCTAGAGGCTGCCAGGCTAGATGAGCTTTTCCATCGAGAGTAATCTTGTTAGAGTAGGACGGGAGGAAGTTATCTTAGCTTCATGACTTGGGACAGGTGGATAAGTGAATCAGAGTATCTTACTGTGAAGCTAATTGCATGAGCACTCCTTTTCCTACATCAACCTTGGCAGACACGGAACATCTGGGTGGGCACTGCACTGTCTTATTGAAACTACATTTTCGTACTTGCGACTCACATGAAAAGCGTTTGGGTTTCTCGATTACAAGATACCTAGACAACGTGTAACGAGGCCCTCTCGGCCTAGCTGCCAAAATCTCCTGGCAAGTTCAGCCACAATCTGTCAAGGTCTTGGTGCAATGAACCTTATCTCACCTCTTAATGGAACCACAAGGTCCTTTCCACCTAGGTCTTTACACTTTGCGCATATTCTCTAAGAATACACTCCGAGACCTGCAAAAGAGTGAGCAAGACAATTATAATATCGAGTTGCTGAGTTGAGGTTGTGTAGATGGATATCGTGGCGTCTTACGGTATCTAAATCAGACCTCAGACCTCAGACCTTAAACCTCCACTTCCGCAGATAGAAGAAGCATGCGCACTGCGGCATGATATGTGACCAGCCAATAGGTAATTGGAAGCTATCTGGCCTGGCTAAATAGTCCGAGTCCGGAGATAGGTACCGCCAAGGTCGTCAAGGTCGTCAATAGTTTTCTATATAAAGGGGCCTCTTCTCCCCTCCTCAACCTCTCCTCTCCTCAACCTCCCCTCTCTCTAGCCCCTCCTCTTCTGAACCAATCTCAAGATTTTTCTATATAAGGGAACCTCTCTTCAGCCTACTCAAGGCCTTAGTCAAACATGGCATCTAGTGCGGAACTCAATCAAATTGGAGAGCATCCAGATGGCGACTCAGACATCAACTCCGTGATTGACAGCCAGCTCACATCAGCACTTTCAGACACGGGAACTTGGGCTAAGTCACACTGGGAAGTTTTAGAGATGCTGGCGGATTACGTCCCCCTCGGAGCACAGGACGACACTACCAAAGTCCTTCGTCTTTTCGCGAGCAAACTCCCAGTCAATGGACAGCTTATCCTGCTCTCCGAGATCAAGCGACACCAGAGCCAACCAGTCAGACTGAGACAGCTTCGTGACTTCCTGGCCCAAGCTATCTTGATGCCTCGTATGTAATTGGCTTTTCCCGCTTGATTCAAAGCTAACGCCTTTTTAGTCAAAACTTGTTCGAAGCGCAAAAGCGAAGACATCGTATCGCCAGTGTCTGCTTCGGGGTCCGACACAGACCGTCCAGATTCACTCCATTGGCAGCTCGACTCATCTAACCGTGGTTCAAAGTTAAGGCGGGACTGTCTCCGCCGGGATGGAGGCCAATGTGTTGTCACGAAGATCTTTGACAGAAGCTGGGTGGAGAAGAACTTCTCTAGCCAGATGATGCCCCAAGGCCGCATAGCCATCTTGGAGTGCGCTCACATCATCCCGTTCTCGATTAGTGATTTTGATGATCGGAGGTCGATGCAGGTGAGATTTTCTAATCTTCTTAACAAGGTATTTGCTATGATACTAACAAGATCAAAAGATTCGTACGAAGGCAAAGATTTGGTGGGCGCTGTGGAGATACTTCCCAGATCTCAAAGGGAAGATCGGCCCCGACACCGTCAATCAGACGGGGAACGCATTTACAATGTTTGGCGAGGTCCATAACGATTTCGGGGGTTTTGATTTCGGGTTCGAGCAGCAATATGGTTCGGTAAGTTGTCATCGTCTTGGTCAAAACTGTTGAATCGCAACTAAACCCTCATAGACTACGAAATACAACATTCGCTGGTTTTGCGGATGGAATCCCGCCTACAGCATGTTCAAGAACTACCCCGAATCAGTAGAATTCACTTCTACGGACCCCAGAGTCGCGCTGCCAGACCCAGTCTTCTTAGACGTGCATTGTCGCGTGGGCGAGATACTTAATGTAAGACCTTCCCTCCTCTGTTCGATTTCCTCACTAACCTATTCTACGTAGGAGTTCAAGCTCCAAAGACTCTCACTGGAATTAGTTAGTCACATGAAGTTCTAGCTAAGAGGCTTGGAAGTTGCTTCGAGGAGGAACAGTGTATATATATCTAAGCCCCATGGCTATACCACAGCCACATGTGGCTAACATAGACTCAATCCCTACAGACTACACATGCCCACCAAACCAGTCTCACTTCCTCGACTTTGTAATCTCAAAGAACTCCGTGACGCCCTGCACGACAGCCTCCACATTCATATTGACGAGCGGCATGCGGTCATACGAGTCCTCCTTCATAATCGCCACAAGAGCCAGGTACCGATCGACCTCGCGCAGCATGATAGGCCGCTGCGAGTCGTGCAGGACCATGCAGCTCTCGGCCCAGTTGCACGCGACCTGGTCCTCGACTTTGGCGTTCCAGGGCTCGGCCTCGAGACGCTTGCGCTGGCCGTCGGACCGCGGCCAGGAGCCGTAGACCTCGGTGATGTCGATGATGACGTCAATGTAGTCGGAGCAGATCTCGTACGAGGCCATGTCGGCCGTGGCGGAGTCGGTGGCGATGTAAATCTTGGAGAGCACGTCAAAGAGGTAGGCCTTTTCGAAGCGGCAGGTTCGGCACAGATTGGTGAGCATGGCCTCGAGGGTGCCGAGCTGGGGAATGAGCTTTTGGATGACCTTGGAAAAGGCCTCAAAGATGGAGTGATTATAGATGGACGTGAGGTGGAATGTGACGGGGGCGTTTTCGAAGCCGTGGTCCGAGAGCTCGTCTTGGATGCGGATGGTGATGTCGCGCTGAATGTCGAGCTTGTAGTCGTCCGAGAGACCATCGACCTTGTGGATAAAGACCTCGATGTTGATGTTCGGGTAGAAGCGCTGGAGGTTTAGGACCGTGGCGTTGAGACGGGCTACGGCTTCGAGATAGTCGTCCTGCGCATCAATCACCCAGATGAGGGCGCCAATCTCGCCAAAGATGGCGTCCATATCAAAGTTTGGGTTCTCAAAGAAGTCAATCTGACCAGGGAAATCCCAGACCTGGTAGTCCATGAAGGATCTGAAGATAGTCAGTGGGACAGGTTGCTCGTCACATTGGCTTGGTTTGAGGCCTTACGCCATGGAGTCCTTTTGAATACGAGCTGTCGACTCCAGGAAAAGCGTCTCATTTGGCGGGAGCTTATGAAAGACGACGCTCGATATTGATGACTTGCCGCTCCTGCCATTGTGATTGGTATGTAATCCATATGAAGCACCGGCATGGAGGGATGACATACCTTCTCTGACCCATCAAAAGGAGTCTGGGCTTGCCCTTTGCAGGGGGGCCCGGAGGCATTTCTACCATCTTGCTCGCATCCTGCGGCTGCACTCCTTGACTCTGATCGTAGACACGCTGGAGTGTTAGCCTAGCTGGACTTAGACGGCCGTTTGATCGCAAAGAACCCCCGTAAGAAGAAACACCTAAGCCATCTACCGCTTGGGACAGCATGGAATCTATAGAACGGGGCGATTTGTTCATTTCACAAGGGGGGGGGGATCGTGTTGAAAGGCAACCAGCTTTCTTCGATGCGTAACTCGTGTATGCAGACAAGTCACGAGGGCTCGAGTGTGAGCGAGTTATAGTCTCGCCGGGCTGGTTGCAATGCCGTAGACTGCTTGCCCTTCTTTGTTTGTTGCTGTCTCGGGAAGATGGATGCCACAGACCGAGGGGACACTCGATGTTTGTGCGGATTCTTTGATGAGGTCGACCGGATCTCAAGCCTGGCAACGATCCGTGCCGGGAATCGAGGCGAGTCTCTCAAACAAAACTTTTGCCAGCGAGGCCCTGGGAGCTCCCGCTTCCCTGGCTGACCTGCCACCAAACCCTCGCATCAACTCGCTCGCGGCTTCTCCAAGATGTCCCGATCTGAAAAGCTTGTTTTTCTCAGACACGTCGAAAGATTACGACCGCCATCGACGGACACACGCAGGAGAGATCTGCCGGCTCGAGGTCTGGCGCATCTTCGTAACAGAAAACGTGGCTGGGAAGCAGGGGCGGAAAGTTGAGAAAAAGTTGGCGTTCATGCGGTCTCCTTTCGAGAAGAATCATACGTCGATGCCCAAGAGCGTTGAACTAGCTTTGACTCGATGCTGATCTCACTGTCGTACAGACACCACATCATCCATGACACCGTGGCTCAGCCCTTCCCGCTTGATCTGACGAGGGACAGCGACCTGACTCCCCGTTCCCGCGGACGACCCATGCTGGCTCTCCTGTTGTCCGATGGCCTCCCTGGCATGACCATTGAGGTGACGCAGAAGGCCGACGCGTTGCGTATGCTGACAATGCTCGAGTCGCTCAGAACTTCCTTGTAAGAAGTGAATCTGTCTCCTCAAACGAGCTTGGGTCTGCTATGGAGCGTTCGAACCAAGAGTCAACCCTAAGTAGGCATATACCGGATAGTCATATGGTTGATTCGTCTTGTATTCGGGACTGGTATGTCGAAGCCTCACCGGGGGAGCGTAAATGGTGTATGAAAAGGCAGGGCAAAAAGAGCCGCAGTAGCTTGGGTAGGACATGAAGACCACGACACTAAGAAACTGTAAGGACTCACTTCCATTTTCCACCAAGACTCCCCAAACTATTTCCTTCAGGTCCTGCCGTTTAGTTCACGAGACGAGCCTGCTTTGCGCCGTTGAGCAGGTCAATCGTTGTCGAGCCTCAGTCGTTGGGTCGCCTCACTCCACAGCGACGGCCGCTGATAGGACCCTTTCGTTTCCCGAAATGGACGCTGACACAGGCAGGTGCGAAAATATGTGCCGCTCTCTTGCTTGGTAGAACCCCTTCCGACCCTCCGACAGTGGTTGTAGAGAAGCTGAGTAAAGAAGCCTGTTTCGTTTGGGTACGGGATGTTAGAGAGGTTCTGGCCTATCAACGGATGCGTATCTGTATGCCGTGACCGTTTCCAGGTTGCATATCAGACGTGTGGAGCGGGCAAGGCGGGTGGGCGGGCGAGGCAATCAAACACTACTAAGGTATCCGTACTGCGTACCTAAGTGGTAAGGCGGTAGCGGAGAAATGACGATGCAGGAGCAGCGATAAGATAACGTAAACATTGAGTTGATGAAAACCCCGTGCTGAGCGCGTTTGAGCGGGCAGCGCTGGCAATTTAAGCGAGACCCACCTTGCAGGTTCCAAGGTACTAACGTACCTACTTCAATCAGACTGTATTGTCACCCCATTCATCTCATCGTAAAAGGCATACTTGCTTGCATTCACCACCCCCACCTCAATTGATGAGTCGACCAGGTTGCCAATGAGATTTCCGGGACTAAATTCATCACACAGATTTCTAACGGAGCTTCGTGAAGCCCGGTAGAATCGGATAACGTCGACCAAGGAGGCATTTCCAAAACAATCTGTCATCGAAGAAGTTATAGCACTTGATGTCTCAAGTGCTATTGGCTAATTACTTGAACGTCACTTAGAAGGCGAAGAACATGGTCCGAAAGATGGTTGATTATCAGTGTGATATAATTAGTGAATGCCTAGTTTTGGCACGTACGAGCTTGATTGAGACGAGTACAGATCAGTCTATCTCCCAATCATAACTCCTACTATTAGACAGGACAGAGACGATTACAAATGGTTGAATTCCAAGACTATGACTCCAGCATGCCCGAGCGGGCTGTAATGCAGAACTCCGTCTCCCTTTTTATCGATGCAATGCTCTGTTTCTTGACCTCGTCAAGTTTCCAATTTGACCACTGCTCCAGACCCGATAATGAGTACAATACGAAACAAAGAGAAAGAGGGACTTCAGTTGGGCGAGGGAAGTAGAGCCACCATCTACGATGCCACGGTGGGCATCGGCGCGGGCGTGTTCCTGGGAGAGCGAGAGAACAGGGAAGTGACGAAGCTGCTCTTGCGCTTTGCCACCTTGGACTTCTTGAGAGATGCAGAAGTGTTGGTAGGTGCCTTCTCAACTTCCTTGATAGGCGCATCCGACTTCTCATCGGGAACCGGGGCCGTGGTCTTGTTGGCGTGGGCCTCGGGGATGGGAGGGATCGGAGGCGCATCGGTTGCGCTGTGCGGAGGAGTAAGCTCATGAGGAGGAGGCATAACTGAATCTTTGCGAGGAGCAACAGATTCTCTTCTAAAGTCAAAGACAGAGCCCTTCCTGCCTCCGACAATGGAGCCGTGGCGCAGAGCTGACATGGACTGCAAGTCTGTTAATATCTCTCGTATTCACCCATGATTTTCATAGTACGTACCTTGCCACTGATACTCTTGCGGTTGCGACCACGGCGCTCGGCAATGGTCTCTTCCTCCTCGCCGGTCATCTCTGCAATGTGAGAAGCGGTAGTCTTGCTATTAACAGCCATGTTCTCCGCAGGAACTTCGACGAACTTGACGAATCCACGGACGGGCGCAACGCCGAGAGCTTCGTGGAGGTGCTTCTGAAGCAGAGCCGTGTTCCTCTTGTTCTTGGTTACGCCGACCTCGAGCGGTAATGCGTGAATCGACATGGTGTAGGCCGGTTCAAAGGTACCTCCAAAGAGCATGCAAGCTCCATGCTGCAGGTTGACCACGATCGAAGTTACTGGCCGCTGGTACCTAACCGACAGCTGGTATGAGAAGTCCGTGATGAAACTGAACTCGTCGTTGATCTAGGAAAATGAATTAGTTGAGGTTCTCCACTCGTGACACGAGGAGAGTACATACAATGACGTTGGTGCGGAGCTCTGCCATTACGATGGCCTCAGCATAGGCGCGGTCCTTGATCACATTGGACTCCCTATCGCCCTGGAAAGCCTCCTCGTAGTAAGAGCTGCGGCGCTTGGCCATGTCGGCTTGCGTCTTGGACTTTCTATTGCTGTTGCGAGTATCGCCGGGCAAAGAGTGAATGACGTCTCTGGTAAGGCCGTCTCCCTCGACAATGGGAGTGGGTGCGGTGGAGGGACGACGACTCATCCGTCTCTCAGCAAAAGACATACCGCCGACCTGCGAAAGACGTTTGTTCTCGGGGGTGACGGGTGGGTGAGAGTTGGTCGTGCTAGGGGTGACAGAGTCCGCGGGAGGGGAAGAAGGCGGGGAGACAGGGTCGGCCATTTTCTGCGACGATGTTCGAAGGCCCGAAGCTGAGATAAAGGTGTTTCGACGGTGCTTAAGAATTGGGCTGATGTATCAGACGTGGCTGTCTGGGAACGGCGTCTTTCACTAGTAGCGGCCGTGTTAGTGTCGTCCATCGCCCATAAACCACCTAGCTCAACACGTACCGAATAGAGACCAACCGCTATCGTCGAGTGATGTTTAGCGAACTGAGCAAGTCTGGACGACTAGATTCCCCTTGGACTTGGCGTAATATGTTCAGCTGTCAAAAGTGCAGTGTAGATAGGTCGAGCGGTCGACGCGCACGGAGTCTCTCGTACTCGAGGCGGCTAGGGCTAGAAACAGTCGCCGAAAGGATGATAAAGGCGCAGAAGGTCGATGCAAAGGACCAGCCACTGATAGAAGTCGATTTGCCGATCTTACAAGATGTGGCAAGGGGACGAGACGCGCTGGGCGGAATACAGGCGGAGTTCCGAGGGTGTTTGATACGGGAAACAAACAGCTGGACGAGCGAATACCAAAAAAACCAGGATCCGACTGCCTGGTGACTCGGGGGACTATTATATGAGGTGAAGATGGCTGGTGCTAGCTGTTGCTGGTCGTCAGCCGGAGGAGCTATGGGGGCGCGAGTCGTTGAGACGGAATCGATGCAGAGGCGGTTAGCCACCCAGAAACGCGAGGAAATGGTTGAAAACGGAAAAAGCCAAGGCCAGATGCGCACTCTACGTCTTTCTTCCCACTTAACGAAGCCCGGTTTCAACGCAAGACAGGTCGATCAGAACGAACGGAAGGAGGAAAGATGGAGAAAGAAAGCGGGCTGGACTGAAATGGACTGGACGAAGCTTGCCCAAGCTCGCATCTTCTTTTGCCTCACTTGAATACCGGTGCTCTCTGATTTCAGGGTACGTTACGTAGGTAGGGCTACTTGCCTCATCTGGTACTTCGGTTGGTATGGGAAAGATTCGGTAGCAGACCGTAGATTATGTGGCCAGGTAACAAACTACTTGAACTACTCTAGAGCAAATGTGCGGGAGGGCTGCACCTCATGTTGATTGACCACGCGATGTCTGGAGGCGAGGCATGGCCGTGTTACCTAAAGTTGTCTACGGCTGGACTACAACGTGTGTGTTGCCAGGGTTCTCCGTTGATTGCGACCATGGAGTTTGGATGTGGGTGGCACACGAAGTGAACAACCTGGAAACCCGCAATCATCCTACCGTGCCTTGGTTCATTCATACCTTACCTCTGCCATTCTCGGCAGTGTTGCCCGCTGCAGCCCTCAACTTATCAAGCTACATGTCTGCGACACGAGAGATTGCTTGGGATTCCGCAGGTCTGGAGCCTTCCCGCTGCCGTCAGTGCTAATGTGGCATGGGCCAGAGACATGGTCAAAGGCAGTCTGGATACCAGAAATTCAGGGTTCAGTACGCGAGGGCCGCTCTGGAATGTAGTAGCGCCTAAATCGGTCTACGGTACGTCGGTAGTAGAGTGTGGTGCCTGAAATATCGGTAGACGAGAGCGAGAAGGGTAAGGTCAAAGGCACGCCGCAGCCAGCTGCTCGGCCAGCCGCATCATGGACTGTGCGACATCCGGAAGGCGCTGACAAGAGAGGGAGAAAGAAGTTGTCTTGTTTGCTGATTTCGCGTGGTTTGTGGGGTGGCAAGTCTGCTTCCTCTGGGCTCTGGAGCCGTCTGGACTGGCTGGGCAAGCTCACGGTTGGAGGGTTGGTCCGAAGTAGTCGAGTCCCTCACGTCCGTCTGGCTCCATCCTTCGGTTCTGATTGCGCCGTCTTGACAGGAACAAGGCCGGGTCAAAGGCGAATATGTCAATACAATGGAGACGGTGATTAACAACAGGCGAGTGTGTTTCTGCTGGGTTCGACGGAGTTGGTAAAGATTGGACGGAATGACTATGTTTCCGGGTAGTCTAAAACATGGGAAATGGGAAGCCATTGGCAGTCATGAGTGGGCACTGGAGCAAACGAGGTACCTTCATAGGTGCAGGTGCAGATACGCTAGGGTACGTACCGGAGAAAAGATGAGAGGTGGATCACGCTAAGGACGGGGTTATGAGCAGAATTCACGGCCACTTTCTGTTAGTCGAGGGCCAAAGCGGCGCTCATTTTGGTTCTTCCATGTTCATCCCAAGTCCCCAAGTCCAACTTCACCAAGCACACTGTACGCGCTGTGCTTTCGGGCCAATCGTTCCGCGTCGACCTGTCGCCCGGCAGCGCCTAGCCGCCCTAGCCGTGGTCGTCAGTCGT